CAGTCATCCTTATAATGTCAAAGCGAGAATTTCGTACGATTTTCTTTTACGAGTTTAAACTCGGCCGAAGCGGAGCCCAAACGGCTAGAAACATTAACCAAGTCTGGGGCGAGGGTTGTGTTAATGAGTGCACTGTGCAAAGGTGGTTTAAAAAATTTCGGGAGGGAGATTTCAGCCTTGAAGATGAAGAAGGTCGTGGAAGGCCTTCCTCTCTTAATGATGATGTTCTGCGATCAGTGGTGGAAGAAAACCCCAAAACAACTGTTCGAGAACTTGCAGAGCAACTCAAAGTCAGTAAAACGACCGTCGCTGACCACCTCAAGACGATTGGAAAAGTGAAAAAACTCGAAAATTGGGTTCCACACTCATTAAACGATCGCCAAAAAAATCAGCGCTTTGATGTTTGTGCATCACTTCTTTGTCGAAACAAAAATGACCCATTTCTGGCCAGAATTGTTACATGTGACGAAAAGTGGATTCTCTACGATAACACTAGACGTTCTGGACAGTGGCTCGACAAAGGAGAAGCTCCAATACATTTTCCAAAGCCCCCAACTCATCAAAAAAAGGTAATGGTTACGGTATGGTGGGCTTCATTTGGTTTAATACACTACAGCTTCTTAAATCCTGGCGAAACCATCAATGCTGAATCATACTGTAACCAAATTAATACCATGCATCAGAAATTGGCAGTAATGAAGCCCTCTTTGGTCAATCGGAAAGGGCCCATTTTGTTGCATGACAACGCTCGACCACATGTGTCACGTGTAACGTCACAAAAATTATTGGAGCTTGGCTATGAAACTTTGCCATTCCACCCTACTCTCCGGACCTCTCGCCTACTGACTACCATTTTTTTAGACACCTGGACCACTACTTACAACACATAATATTCAAAAATCAAACGGAACTGGAAAATGCATTTATTGACTTTATCAATTCTAAAAATTCTGAATTCTACTCAGACGGAATTAATAAGTTACCAACACGTTGGGAGAAATGTATTGAGAGTATGGGAAATTATTTTGATTAAAGAACATTGCTTTAAAGTAACTAGTTTCTTTTTTTTTGTTTAATACCAAAATCCTGCATTATTTTCCGGACAACCCAATATCAGACTCGACATTAGATTTCAAGGTAGAGTCTGATGTAATGGCTATCAGACATTCGTATTCAGATGAATAGACTGGGCGGCTTTGTAGAAAACGGTTTGACCAACATGGTCTTCCAGCAGCTGTTTGGAAGTAGTGCTCAAAGGACATCTCCCAACATCGAAGGTGTTCACATATTTCATCAATCAACGTGCCGTTCCAAGATCCAATTGATTTTCATTAAAAAAATCATTTAACACAGTAAAAGACTCCACGTTTTCCTTCTCAACAGATTCAACCCAAAACTGGATTTTTCTTTTGAAGGCTTGAACTTTGTCATTAGCATCGAAAGTTATGACGCAAAGACTTTTCACGCAAAGACTTTTCACGCAAAGACTTTTCACGCAAAGAAAGACTTATCTCATTCATTTTGTTGAAAATTTTCTTATAAATACGGCAGGATTCATTGCCATTTCTCATCACCAAAAACGTTGGCCAATTTGACATTGAGGTCCATCAACAGAGATAAGACTTCAGAATGTATTCCTGTAATCGGGAAAGTGCTTTCGGACAAAACATCCACTGGACTTCTGTATGGTTAAGCTGTGAACGATGAAGGCTTCCCATATCGACACATAGTATTGTGAAAAGTCTTGTCTTCAATGGCCTCGACTTAATATAATTAATAATTTGAGCAGACTTCCAAAGCTTTCTTAAAAGAGCATTTGTTTCATAGCTAAAGCATGTCTGAGGAGAATGTGCTGCATGGACTGTTGCAGCAAAATAAAAACTTTTGTTTTCAGTACTCATGGTTATTAGTTTTGTTTAAATTATTCACTCTATGTTTATTTTTGTAATTATGTATTAATTTTTCTCCAAGTTCATGGCGGACTTCCTAGTTCGAGTTGGCGGACCAATGGGCCCACGGACAACAGTTTGGGAAGCGCCGTTTTTTAGTAGATACAGGGTGTCTTTTTAAATGGCCCGGTTTTTTTTGAACCAATGACGCTATAAAAAATAGGTTTTTAATATTTTTTAGTCTAGATTCAAATTTTTACCTTTTTTTGGAGAAAAATTATACAGGGTACCTCAGGTTCAACTTTAAAATTTCAAATACAACCCTATTCATCCTGACATGTCACTTTTTTTACGCTGAAAACAATGGTGGAATCGGTTTTTAAATTGGTCAAAAAATGGAAAAAAGAAACCGGCAGCGTAATTCCGACGAGGAGCTGAATATTTTTCAGTATGTTCGTGAAAATCCTAATTCCTCTCCCTGAAATGTTGGAAGGGTTTTAGGTCTTTCAAAAAATAAAATTAGAGATGCACTCCGGACTTACAATTTTAAGCTGTATCTCTCTCCTCCGGGGACTTCGGGACTCTGATTCTGACAGGCGTCTAACGTTTCTTGCACAAATGTCGATTTGGGAGGCTGAAGAAAACATTCTTTCATTCATCCTATGGACTGATGAATTCAAGTTCACCTCTAATGACATGCAAAACCGTTGGAATTTTCGAAAATAATTTACATGGTGCTCAGCTCCTCAATTTTTTGAGGGACGTTTTACCAACACTATTAGATGGTGTTCCTCTGCAACAACGACAAAGAATGATTCTCCAGCTTGATGGATGCCCCGCACACAATTCTTTGCAAGTGGGACATTATTTGAATCGTTACTTTCGGGATAGGTGGATAGGGCCTCATGGCCCGATCTCTTGCCTCCTCGATCACTCGATTTAACTCCACTTGACTATTTTCTGTAAAGACATTTAAAAAACACGGCTTAAGTCAATCAGAACCCAGCAACCTCAGTTGAAGAACTGCGGCAAAATATAGAATACACTTGTCGGTCCATGTACCCTGACTCTATCGCTCTGAGCATCGGTGAAGAACAGAGCAAATCTTTTTCATCATTTCTATGCAAGGTAAACAGTTCTAACATGAAATGTGATTAATAAACAGCAAACCAAATGTCTGTTTTTTTCTAACTTTTTGCTTTTCATTTTTTGACCAAAAATCCTTCAAAATGATTTGTTAAGATCGGGTCGTTTTTGAAATTTTGAAGTTTTACTGAGCCTGAGGTACCCTGTATAATTTTTCTACAAAAAAGGTAAAAATTTGAAACTAGATTAAAAAATATTAAACGATTTTTTTTATAGTGTCATTGGTTTAAGAGAAATTCAGCCCGGTCGTCTAAATAGGCCAATGATAGATTTGTGTCCCTAGCATTGATAGTGAATGTATTTCTTATCGTGAACGTATAGTGTGAGAGGGCCGATGGAGGAACGTTAAGTACTCTTAAGTTCCCACTCTAACTGAGTAAACGGTAATGAACTTTAAATTGGAAAGAATGTATGTAAGAGTGAGAGTGTGAGTGAGTTTGGGTCTAGAAAGTGTTTACGTTGGGGGCTGAAACGACCTGAGCCCAACCGAGCTTTCTTAATATTGAACGTTTCTCAATGGCAGTTGAGCTTAATATTATTTCTAAAAATATGAATTAAGCAAGTAGAATTTCATGAAAGTAGAACAAGATCACAATTATACGATAATGAAAGTATGGAAATGGGTCATGTAACCATAAGTCCAAGATCTGGATTTTTTCTTGTATCAGCACCAATGTTGCAAAAGGGTCTTTTTAAGGAGAACCGTTGTAACAGAGAGATTAATGTTGAATTTTGAACACTTTATACCCTTCGGAAGAAGAAAAAATAGGCGGTCAGCCCATTCAAGCACGTGCCTCCCGTTCTTATTAGCGGTCTATCTCTCCTCCCTTTATTTGATTTCTATCCTTTTTTCACCTCCTCTCATTCGCCTCACCAAAGACTGAAATTACGTCACCGGCACACCTACTCCTCACCGGATTCCCTTTTGTACTAACGCGGCCAAAAACATGACCTCGGCCAGCTACCGGCCCCTTATCGGTCATCAGATCCTGAGGCGTATCTTCGCGATACAGAGACTTTTCCACAAGCGAAGGTGCGAACTAAAAAACATTCCCAATATCACATTACAAAATCGATAATCACACAGCACAGCTTTATTTTTAATAAAAATGAGGTAATTTTAGACAGGATAAGTTTACACTTGCTAAATACTTATTGCTCTCGGATGCGATGCCGTTTCGACGGATCTCGAACGCTCACGGTATTTACGAAGAACACCAAGAGTTCAGAAATGATGCTTCTTAAGAGCTTACAGTACATGAGATCATTAAGAAAGCTAACAGAGTAGTAAAGTAAAAGAGATCAATTATCATTTGACTATCGTAACTGAGAACCTTTTCGAATGTGAGATCTACTTTATGGACAGAGCTCGAGTGACTGATGATATTCTGGTAATACTCAACATATCTTGTCAGTGCACATATGATAACCAATACGATTATCTCAAATGACATAAAAACAGGGACAGCTGGTTTGAAATTTGTGGTCCCAATTGGGCAGATTACAAACTTTGTCTCTCGGTATGCCAACAACTGTACAACAACTTTATATAAGGGTTGTAATAGTATAGAAAAATTAGAAATTTTAGGGGATTTTTTTTATGTTCGAATCAGTGGATGACATGTAGGGACTGGAATTTTAGAAATTATCATTTTTCATTTAACTGGCGAAGAGAGAGAAATTACAACTTTCTTTTTAATTGGCAGAAGTTATTACTTTTCCGGGGTGGGGGTCATAAATGATCAAATTCTATAATTTTTATAGTCAAATTTGTAACAGATTATTTTGGATTCTGGGTGTATTTCAAAATGGCACATTCTCGATTTATTTTTGGTATTTGGAAAAAAAACCGACAAACAGTTTAATTTTTCAGGAGAGCATCAAATCGCGAATAGCAGAGTTTTTCGCGGCAAAGGTTCGTCGGGCTTATCGTTTGTCCACCGACTATTTCCAGGACGGGCTCACCTCGTTTTCCTCCGTGTCCGAGGGGGGCCTCGTCTCCTCCTCCTTCTCCTCATGGTCCTCGGCGTCGTCGTCGAAGGGTTCCTCGGCTTTCCCGTCATCCCGTGACATGTGTCCTGCCCCGAGGGGGATCCCGGGCGGAAACTGGAATGCCTCGAGGCCGTCGTGGAGGGCAGGAGAAGAGTGGGACAAACTGGTTTGGTGACCCCCGCCTTCGGCCTCAAAACGCCTCGGGTCATCCCGGATTCGAGAAAGAGCATGTAAACTGCGGACGTACCCCCGGAAAACAGTGGGGAAACTGGAGCAATGTGAAAATTGGATACACCAGCCTCTTTACCAATAATATCCTTAACAGTCCCGTCCTTTGATTCCTTCTTAATCTTACTTCTCACAAAAGCCCGGCTCATTTATGAAAACAGTTTTTTTATTTTGTCAAAATCAATGGCAGCTGTTTGGCTATTTATCTATGTCTAAACTGAACACTGTACTGCCTGAAATATCTGTCATTCTGGAATTGAATGGCGAAACGAGTTTGCCTCCATTTCTAACTGACCAAACTAATATATTCAAAATGAAACAAGAAGTTGGCAGCTTATCATTAGTACCCATTAAAGAGTTACAAATATCCCCCCCTCATCGGCCCACACTTACTCATTTACACAAACCGATATATATATATACACACATACATTGTGCAGCTAGACCAAAATTATGCATAATATTTACACTAGAAAAACACCCCCGGCTCCCTTAAAAATCGAAATAGGAGACCCCTACAACCCACTCTCATGCCCAAGGACTGTTATGTCGAGTGCAATGCTTACTCGCTCCCTGTAAGGAGCCAAGGTGCTCGTCGACCAAGTGTGTCATACATTCTTTATTTAATTTATCTTTATGATTATTATATTTATTATTATTATACAAATAACAGATATTTGTTCAAAATTAGCATTCAGAGTAATAAAATTTCAAAGATGGATCAAGTTACAGTTAAACAATAATAATTTATTTTATTTAGATTTACTTTCACTTAAGATAACTTCACTGTTATAAAATAAGAGCATGAAGGTAATAAATCACTATGTAACAATGTTTTGCAGAAAATCTTGCTTATTTATGACTGTTGGGAGAATTGAGCCGTGCTTGTCTTTATTATATTTGGAAATATATAGATGCTTTTGTGGTACAATTAATTAATTATTTATTATTGTCCACTTCTGAATTGTAGTACATTCCAAGCGCAGTTACACAACAAGATCTTTAAATGGTAAGGGACAGATACAAATTGGTGCTTGCACGATGAGGATGAGTCAATGTGTAGTAATGGTAACCTAGGGCGATTCTGAAATAACCCAGGCCGAAAATTAGGTTAGGTATATGAGGTCAGTAAATTCGAAAATTACAGACTGCACATTCCTTTAAAGCAGAATCCGAAGGATTGTGAATGCATCGCCAGAGGGCAGCCTACGGGCCGGCGGTTGAGAATTATCGCAATTTCCTTCCGTAAAGGGTGAAATTAAAAACTCATAAAACGGATTTAATCAATAGAACGTCTTGGAAAGCGGCAGGACGCTTTGATTAGGGGGCGGGTCAGTTGGGGTAGTCCGCACGTGACTTAATGATAGTTCAAGACCGGCTTTTCATTCAGTACTTAGACGTCATGCTATGTGACATTCCAGAGGAAACTGAACCGATGGGCCGGAGAATGCTTATGCTGTACTTAGTCACTTTAATTCAAGACAACATAAAATATTTCTCTGAATTTAGTTTTCTTAATTTCAGCGGCATTAATCATAGGGAAGTCCATCTATTCAGGGTTTCAAAACTGTGCTGTTTGCATCACCCCCCACTATTACTTTGTACGGAGATGAGAGATTAAACCTGTCTGCGTTTATTAGTAGCTAAGAATATTAGGTGATTTTGTAAGAAAATGTTATCCTTATCGATCACTTTGTTCTGGGTATTCTTGCTGTATTGGTCTGTAATTTTTCGGCATTTCGCCATCTTCCAAGCATACCACCAAAGGCAACGACAAGAGAGAAAACAATACTGCAAACCCACTCCCTACGACCTTATACAACAGGCCTAACAGAATCACACTGACAAACTAACAATGACGAAATTGCAGGTTCATCACCGCGCAAATCACAGAAGGAAATTTCACGATTTTGTATGTCTTGTGGATTTATGTTGGCACGCCGAGAAAAATCAGAAGTACATATGAATTGGCCGGACTAATGGTAGAAAAGGTGATACTTGCCTCCTATGCCAAGAAGAAATTTGGAATAATATTGAACCGCCATTATAGGAAGACAAAAAGAAACAATGCATAAAGAAAGAAGCTCAAAGTGACGTGTGAGGTTTCTCTTTAGTTCATAAACCTTGTAGCTTTGGCATTTCTGGAAATTTTCACTAATGATTTTCTGAAGATGGCGGAAACCTGAAATGCGGCTGACAGACCAAAACAACAACGAGTATATCCAAATGATCGGAAACGACCAAGCTTCACTTAGGAAAAAGCTCAAATTCTCAATGAAAGGTTCGCTTTTACAAGGAACAGGCTTGATTGACATATTTATCAACAATGAAATAGTCAAAGTTGTACGAACAGGATTGTAGGTGCAGTCTCTAATAATTCCAATGTTACAATTGTAGATAACACACATTGTATTTTTCCTACCTTAAAATTTTAAAGCTGCAGGAAGGTTATTTATTTCATGCTTGGTTTCTGGCGAATTTCATATTATGTGGAATGCTTCAACACTTTGGCAGGCTTTATAGGATTCTTCGGCTAGCTTCACAGCCATGATGTCTACCTGCAGAGAGAATGATTTTCCTAATTTCTGCCGTTGATTCAGAGGGAAAACTATCTTTCTGTTTAGCATAATTGTAGTGAGTTACACTGTGAGGTACTCTTTTCCAAAAATACTTTACGATCATTTATTAGTGATGGTTGTAAATATTACTGCCTTTTTGGCAAAGTTGTCAGTTTCTTTCGATAACCCCATGACCTGGCACTCACATTAGCTAAACCTTAGTAGTGCTTAGGTTTGAACCGAAGGTACCCAACGTTCTTGAAACTGTCTGTCGGTCTTAGGACGTTTAAGCACTTTTCTGACAATTTCAGGTGAAACTAAATTTTTGTCTTGAATATTGAAAATAGCTAATTCATGCAAGACATATCCTTTCAGACAGTACATACAGTTAAAATTTAATTGGCGAGTCATAGGGGTAGTTGACATTAAACCGGCCAGTTCCCGCCACCATTCACTCTATAAACATAAATGTAACAACTAAGTTACTTTGGTGGGTCTGTGGGGTACTTTATATTCCTCCACAAACCAACCCACACACACTCAAAACATTCGAGCTAATAAATACAGTCACTCAATTAAATACCTACTCCTTCAGATATCCAATCGCAATAATGAAATACAACAGTTACATATGATAATTGATAGATAATTGGATCGGAGGATCTGACTAGTAGAAGGGTCATCCTAACCCGATTAACGTAATGCCATGCGAGACGACGGGCACTTACTTTCGGGCCAAAGCTCGCGTAGTGTCCGGCATGTAGTGAAAAGTTTTTTGATGTGTCCAAAAAAAAAAAAAAAAAATGGAATGTGAGAAGTGATAGGCTCAACTCTGTCCACGCGTGTGCAGATTAGAACTTAAACAAATCCTGCCAAGGGTGGGTTATGTGGGTTAAAGTTTAGAAGAAAAAATAAGAATACCAAAAATGTCTCCCTCGGCTTCGGGAGAAACCGCGTGAGGAACGAAAGGACAGTGTGCATTTATTTTCAATGCCGGTAATTTCTTGTAACGTGAACGGCATAGAATTCAAAATACAAAATAGAGTCGCGAGGAAGAAATTAGGTGGAAAATATGCACGGGGAAAATTCTGAAAACGGCCATTTTTGTAAGAGGGGTGTTAAAGGGTTTCAAAAATAGTAATGACACACGTTACCGCTATTGATTTGACACGTCGAAAATGATATTTAGGGGAGAGTTTTTCCTTGGGTATTTTGTCCCGGTTATCTAAAGAGGGCTCTTAAGGGCGCCGGGATTTCCTTTTTTCCTTTTTCGCCCCTTTCTGCCGTCCATTTCCGCAGACGAGATAAGTCCATGCCCTGGGTTATGCGAGGTATCAATCAATCGCGTCGTCGAACGATCGTCAAAAGTGTCAAAATATGGATTTATCGAGGCTTCAGGCTTTGAAAAAAAAGTTTCAATTTCTCTTCAAAGAAAAACGCTTCCTATCGATTTTCTCTATCAATAAGAGAAATCAGCTTTAAATCCAATAGAGCCCATGCTAAGGCTTAGGGAATTTTAAATTGTTTTAATAATTTTTCACCATTATATTTCGGAAAGGCAAATCAACGGGTTTAACTTTTTACAGAGTAGTTCTTTTACAGGATTATTGGTATAAAAGATTTTTTAAATGGATTTTTTCAATACGTCACTGCAATTTATGCACGCCCACGAGTTTTAACGACCTGCAGTGGCCGTTCAGTTTCTATTATAAAAAAAATATTGAAAAAATCCGACTTCCGATTGAAAACAACAAGTCCATTTACAACTGTCATGATATATGTAAATTTTAAACATAGAAAATTCTCCCAATACCTTTAAATTGATATATGACTGAAGAATGTGGACTAAACTATGTGGATTTGTCTCAATTTCTTTTTATTGAAGCCAAATAAAGGAAAAGGAAAATTTACACAAGCGCCCAGAATATATCAGACATGAGTGGGGATTTGGAACTAGAGGTCCACATTTTCATAGACTATGTGAAACAAGCCGCCGTGCACTCGGTACCCAAAACAGAAGGAACCCCGTTCCTCGAAGGGGGTGCCGTGGTGGACCGAAGAATGTAAAGCGGCGAACAAGGAGAAGAAAAGAGAGCTAAAGAAGTTGAAAAGATATCTCACCTCAGCCAACGAGGAAGATTTTATATTAAAAAGCGTAAAGGGACGAAAGCTGTTGACTCAATGCGTCAATGCGTTCTCAATGGAAGAATATGTATCGGGCCAAATAATGCAAACCGATACAGTTTGGTTCCCGATTACTCATCATCAACAAGACAAGAGGATCTTTAACGTCCGCACCTAGCCTATTCGGCCTTATCGGACATTTTGATTCTCAAGATGAGAGCTGCATACGACGGAAAAGTGTTACCGCCGCAGCATTGTTGTAGTGGTGTCCCGGCCCCTAAGGGTCAGTAGCCACGCTCTCCGCTTGTCCACTCCGAATGGTCGGGCCCGCATTGTGCGTCGGGTCGTACGCCGCACGCGAGGGGCTAACGAGCCGAAATACATNAATGACAGAGGGCCGGATTCTGGAACATTTCTGTCACCCCGTGGTACAGATGGCCATACAACCCTCCTCCGTCTTTGCAAACCGATACAGATATGGGAAATAGAGGAATTCATCGCG